AATTAAAAATGTATAGAAAATTAAATTTAAAACAATGGTTAAATTAATTTTTTTTATGTTTTTACAGTGAACGATTTATAAATTAACAATTTTAATGGTAAAAATAGAACATATACGTTTTTATTTTTTCAGGGCTAAATAAGAACTTTTCGAAAATTTTTGTAAATATACTTTTTATAGAAAAATTGTATACCTACAAAATAGTCCAAATAAACATTTTCGAAAAAGCTAAAGTTTTTGAGATAGACATAAAAAACTAAAAAATCACCCTTAGGGGTTATTTTTAACCCCCTTGGGGCACGTCTTAGAGTTGACCAATCGTCACCAAATTTTGTACAATTTATTTTTTCATGTATTTGAATAATTCTAGGGGGTGGCACTTACAAATATTAAAAAAAAAAAAACCTCTCATGTAGCTAAGGGTCACCCTAATGTTGCTATATAAATAATTTATAAAAATAATGATTATTAGTTTCTCCTGAATTAATAATGAATTTTTACAATTATAATAAAATTTTATTATACGCTCAATTGAGTAAATCTTTTTAACAACTTTGTTTTGATTGCTTCATTTAATTAAAGTAAATCATTAAAATTAATTAAGTTCTGAATATTTCAATTGCAGAATCTTTTTAAACACCAAAAGTTACCAGAAAATTATTACTATTACTTCTATTTAAGTTATCTATTACGATAAAAATGCAAAAAAATATAGAGCTTTTCTGACAAATTTACAATAAATAGTAATTATAAAACTTTCCTGACTGCATCATATTAATCTTAAAAATACCATTTTTTTAATTCTCATAAAATTTTCTATTTAATGAAGTCAATTTTAAACTTACAAATTGAGCTAAAAGTTATGGTAATAAATTAATTTTTTTTATTATATACTTTCACAAAAATCAACTTTATAGGATTAAAAATATAGGTTAATATGTCATTTTCCTTATTTTTAACATAATAATCAAAATCAATTTTAATTTAAAACAATTTTTTTTTGTTCTTAATTATTTTTTTTATATGTAAATACTTATTTTTTAATAATAAGTAATAATATTAAAACTTAGAAGTGATAGAAAAAGTCTAATGGCATATTTGAAAACCACGCGAAAAGTTGATTTAGAAAAGTATATTTTTGCTTCTGATAAAAGTTCCTTGTAGTCCAGTGCATTTATTTATAGTAACAAACAGTTTTTAGTGAAAAGTATTGCATCAAACTCTTAAAATTTTTATACACGTAATAGTAAAGCAAAATATAACTTCTTCATTATTTTTTTAATTTACTTTCATAATAAATTTAATAACTATAATTAGTATTTATTCATATATTATATTTTAAAATTAAAGAACTGCTATTCTTGATATAATTAAAGATATAATTTAATAAGCCATTATGATGATCATTAATTTTTTAACAATTTGATACATTTTCAAAAGTTAAGTTGAAATAATTATTTTTTCAAAAAAAAGGCGCATTTTAAAATCCTTCTTATATTTTCAAAAAAAATCAAATGAAAAGGATATATCTAAAGTATTAATAATAAAAAACTTGTGTGATCTATTTATTTTTCAAATGTTATCGCTATTTTTATCAAAAAAGTATGAAAAATGTTGAAATTTGTCTATTACAAAAGTCATAATTTTGTTGAGATTTGCTCAATTTACAGGGAAGGCGGTAATTTTTTCAATTTTCGAGAGCAATGTCTTCAATAAAATTCGATTTGTAATTTTTTGACATATTGTTCATTAACATTTCGGTGTAGTAAAAGATGAGAAAAGTTGGCGACAGACACAAAAAAAAAAACACATCATAGAAAATTAATTTCTTCTCAGTTTCGCATCGAAGCTAAAAAATCTTGAATATATTAAAAATGAGCACAGAAACAGCGATGAATCGCGAAGCAAAAAATTTTTTAGTTGGGACACTATCTAATATTTTCTCATAAATGATGAATCGTCTATCCGCCCTTTAATGGATCTGATTGAATTACAGCGATTGCTATTACATCAATAAATAATATACTTACTATGAGTTTTTGTTATTTCTTTTTAGAACTAATTGATAGGTAATTTTCTAACTTCGATGCGAAGCTGAGAAGGTATTAATTTCACGATGATGTTTTTTTTTTTTTATGTTTGTTGCCACTTTTTCTCAGCTCTTACTGGACTGATATTTTTTAATGATACGTCAAAGGATCACAAATCGTATCTAGTTGAAGACATTACCCTCAAAAATTGAAAATTTTTCCCTTGTTTCTCGTAAATGGGGGAAATATCCAAAAAAATTATAATTTTAAAAATCGATAAATTTTGTCATTTTTTTCACTTATCTTTCTTAAAACTTCCATAACTTTTTCAAAAATCAACAAATTAACTTAATTTATTTTTATATTAAAACCTTAACTATTAATATTAAATATTTAACTACTATTATTAACTTATTAACTTATTAACTATTTACTATTAACTACTAATATTAAATATTTCCCTTTCATTTGATATCTTTTTTTTTGAAAATCTAACACTTATTCTAATCATAGGGGTGGATTTAAAATAGCAACTTTTTATCAAAACTAATTTTTTCAACTTAACTTTTGAAAATGTTTCTGAAATATTAACACTTTTATTAAATCTTAAATTAAAGCTTATATTATATACTTTACTATGAAAAAAAAAATCGAAATATACATTTTCTTCTTGATGAAAATGGCTATCGTATTCAAAAATATGCTATTTTTGTGTTAAACATTTGGGATTTGTATTTTATTTTATTTTAAAATATCTTACAAGGGGAACATATTGACTTTCATGAATATTGTATAATTTAATTGACATAGAATAATGTTCATAAGAAATAAGAAATTAAACTTATTAAAATTTTTTACTTTTTTAAAGTCGAAAAAGTAATTTTTAAATTAGAATTAGCTTAAATTACTAATTTTATCGCGCGACGAAAGCATCGAAGGGTTGCCGAATCGGTAACATTTGAGTCTTTCACGCTTAGGGTACGAGGTTTGAATTAGCCTGTGGCAATTAATATTTTGTATTTTTTTTGAGTTCACTATAATCTTCCCTCGTGAGAAGAAATTTCTTAAACATGTTAATATTATTTTACTATGAGGTTTTTTTTGTGGCTACGATTTATTTTGCCAACCCTCACTTGACCTACTTTTTTCAACGATACGTCAAATGATTACAATACGTATTTAGTTGAAGATATTACCCTTAAAAATTAAAAAAAAATTTCTTATTCAAATAAAAAGTAGCTTAACCAGCTTTTTCCATACAAACAATTAAAATCATTCATTTCTAATAGTTTTTAAGTATTTATTGTAGAATTAGATTTGATATGATAAAAGTATTCAACTACAAAAGTAAATAATTTTACTTTGTAATTTATTAATTTTTTAACTCTATTTGTGTGTGCTACTACCAGTCTATAATATTTCAAATATTTTGTAACATGTTGCTATATAAATCATAATTAAAAAAAAAAAATGGTTTTTAGTTTCACCTGAATTAAAGGATGGATTTTTACAATTATAATCAAATTATATAATACGCTCAATTGAGTAAATTTTTTAACAACATTTTTTTCATTGGTTCTTTTAGATAAAGTAAATCGTTATAATTAATGAATTTCTGAATATTTCAATAGTAGAATATTTTTAATCACCAAAAATTATTTAGAAATGATTACTATAATTTTTATTTAAGTGATCTATTACAATAAAAATGCAAAAAAAATATAGAGTTTTTCTGATAAATTTACTGTAAATAGTAATTATAAAATTTCCTGACTGCATATTAATTTTAACAACTTCATTTTTTTCTATTTAATAATGTCAATTTCAAACTTGAGTTTGACCAAACCTTTAGCTTAACCAAAGTTAAGCTAAAGGTTATGGTAATAAATTCATTTTTTTTTTTTATTATAAACTTTCACTTAAAATGACGAAATAAAGAAGGTTAAAAATGATTACTTTTAACATATTAAAAATCAATATCAATAATAATTTGAAAACAATTCAATATAACAATTATATAATATATAATTTTTTATTATAATTTTGAATCTAAGAATTACTAATCCGGATATAATTAAGGAAATAGTTGATTAAAGTTTATGAAGCTTTTGGAATAATCCACCAATTTTTTAAAATTAAACACTATCTAAAGATTTGCATCGAAGCGTTTTTTTTCGATAGTGATTTTAATCACTGTCAGATATCATTATACTTGATCCAACTATGCCACGTCACCACTGTGCCGCGACCCCCCTGTGCTGGGTTTTT